AAAATTGTAAAATGCTGTGGAATTTTTTTTGCAAATAAAAATATATAGCAATTTTCTATTAATGGTTTATTCAAGTGGGCAAAATATAAATGTACAGAAAGATTGCCCGTATACACTGAAAAGTAAGCAACCGACAGCCTGTATAAAAGGTGGACTGTGATTGGCTGTTACTTACGCGAGATTTGAACGGGACTTACATAGGCGTCGGATCAGATGTAGGTAGGGCGGAATTAAAAAAATCAAAATCAAAGTAAAATAATAAAATAAAAGGGCATTAATAAGAAAAGTAATACAAAATAAAATTAAAACAAGTTTATAGCCAAAATAATTACAGCCCGTACACTACATTAGATTTTAATCAGATTGCGGGCGTGGCAACTATTCTATGAAAAATGGCTCCAGACTGAGTAGACATATTTAGCCCCAATTCCAAAATCAATGAACCAAAAAGATATCCTATGTTTTGGTTGAGGACCCCCGGGGTTTTGTAACAATATGCACTCTTGTTTCGAAGCTTTTTCTTTTGAAAGCAAAGAATACAATTTAGCTGGCAGAATACACAATCTGGCGAGTGACGCAATCTTCCATTTCATTTTAACTGGGGCTACCAAAGTATCAAAAAAGACGCTGTGAATTCTAGTTGAAAATTCCCAATTTCTAAAAAGTAATATATATTATTTTGATAGAACAATGCCAATTTCAGAGGAGAGAAAATCAATTGTTTTCATTACCGCCAAATAAGTAAGTTGAGAGGATATTTCTCATGACTTAGAATAATTTATGTACATCATGTGTTCGTTGTGAGTACTACAACCAGAGTACTGCTCGTAATTTAAGGAACCCAATTTTGCCCAAACATATAATATATCTTCACTAACTGTTTAGATCAGATTTCTCACATGTGCTTTGTTTCTTGACAGACTAATATTTTCATTCAGTTACGACATCGTGTTTAAGCAGGATGTCTGATGTATTTAAACACATTTGTTCAAATGTATATCACAACAAGTAATACATGACGTATTGACCACACACACTGTATAGAATAGGACTTGAAATATGCTATAAAGGTAGAACCACGTACGGGCGTTTGTTTTATTCGAGAAATCTCTTAAATTCCGTGTAATGGTGCACTATCGTACGAGTTAAAATATTACATGCTATATATTTACCTGATCGTTTCACAGAATAATTGTACTGGGCTTGAACTGATCACGTCAAATGTATTACATTATTTGAGTGAAGCCAATTATATATTTGGGCTGTTTCAATTAGATCTTTTGACTGATTGACAATTTTGACTGCAGCCTTAACTTAAATGCCGAGAATTCGTCAATGATATATTTCAGACTATTATCCGGAATCATATTAGCATTGTCGAATGTCATTGTTGTTTTAAGGTGGTTTATTTTATAAAAGTCAGTATATTTATCAATGGTAACCTAGTAGTTTCCCCATATAACACGAATATATTAAACTCAGGATCAATGTGTATTCGGAATTATATATCATTAATGGCTCTTTCTGTTGTTTTGGTCAAACAGTTATTAAAAATCTTTAAAAAAAACTTTACTTTCTCTGTGATTTTACCTATTACGTCTGACCAAAAAATACATGATGGGCTCTTCAACACAGGCATCTGGTTCTAAATAGCTAATGAAATGGCAATGATATTTTGTTTCCCTTGTAGTTTGTTGAAGACCAATGGGTCTAGGCACAAGTTTAGCTTGTCAGCTGTCTGCACTGCTTCAAGACTATTAAGGTATAGATGCAGGTTCGTGGGCACTTGGGAGTGAATTTTCTTTTTTTTTTGCTTTTTATTATAATTCAAACAGTCTTGGCTATAGACTGTTAACATTTCGCAGCATTATGAATGGTGGAACGTACTCAAAAGACGATTTTAAAATATAGAAAACAGGTACAAACATTCTCTCTTTTGAATGCTTAGCAAGATTTAGCAAGGCTGTACATAAATAATCAAAAAGAAACATGGTGAAAAAAAGTAATGACAGGATCTCCATATTATGCACTATATTTAACTTTTTACAAAACGATAATAGGTTTAAATTTAAAACTGTTGCAGCCATTTTAATTATGAGCATTAGCAAACTTCTTACTGAGTGAATGGTTATGCAAATTAGCCATTATCTCCACTTGCGTTTTTCAGTTTACCATGTTAGTTCAAATCTAAATAGTTCGCACAATTCTTGTTTATTTTGAGTGAAACTTTCACACAACGTTTATCAGTTGTTTATTAACAAAAGGACGTCCAGGCGTATATGTAATATGTTTTGTTTTAATATTACAAAGTTGTCAAGCAGGATGTGTGCCGTATAGTCAATCCCGGTCAGTATTTCACACTTCGAATGTCATTGTCCGAGAATGCAAAGCTTTAAAAATAAGCCCAGACGTCCTTTTGTTCGTAGAGACGTTGTCAAAATAGTGTGAAAATGTCAAGACAAACTGACAAAAACTGTGTGAGCTAATTAATTTTCAATCTCTCTGACCAACCAGAAAACACGAACGGAGATAATGCCTGTTTTAAGAAAGTGACATAAATCGTCCACAAAAATGGCTATTGCGTCACAACGACATGCCAAAATCCATCATACACCGACGCTTGCTGATGTTCAATTGTCAGATAAAAAAATAAAATAAAAATATTTAGGGAGGGGCACAATGGATTACGTAAAGCCGCTGAGATATCCATACAGTTATATAGACATAGCGATCGCCATTGGGTGGGTTAAGTCTAAATTTACTTTTCCTCAAACCTTTAAAAATATACTCGAAATCGAAACAGGTTTCATTCAACTACGAGCAGACAAGGGGGGTTTCTGATTAAGGTAACCAAGATGGCATCGCAGAGTGCGTGATTTTTCCGTGGTGTTTAAAAACAGCATCTCTTTGCCCATGTTTCGGTAATTTCCGGGGTACTTTTTATTTTTAATTAACCGAGCATTTTACGTTTGTGTATTTTGCCACTGAAAAGTTAGTTATCGATAACAGCACAGTAATGGTGTTTATTCATTGCATCGCAATGCTATCAGCACGGTGATTGTTCAGCGAAACGAAAAATGTATAATTAGTCAGTTATATAATGCCTTCGGAGAAAAAAAAATGCGTGAAAAAAAAAAATATTTAACAGTACTCCTCTGGAAGCTGCCAGGTTAGAAGTTGTCGAGATAATCGTGAACAAGTTTATGTATCATTTACAACTGTATGTTTTTGTATTCCGCTTGCATGCTGGGAGCGTCTACGTCTTGTCTGTTTTTTTTAGTTTGCGAGACTAGATAGCGCTTGAGGTAAGTTAAACAGAGTCGCGGACAGGGAGTAACACATCGCCGCAACTGAGGCCAGCAACTCATTTGCATATAACATCAACAGTGACTTGTCAATCAAAGAGAAACGTAAACAAAATTTCGGGACTTTTAATCACATACGCGTGCCTCGGTTCCCTTTATTTTAAACTCGATTTTTTTAAGTATGTTCCCGCATTGACAATGCTCCGAAATTTTAACACTATCTAGCCAAGACTGCCCGGGTAAGCAAAAGGAAAAAAAAATCACTCCTAGTGCCCACGAACCTGCATCTATACCTTAAGCCAATCCATTGATTTTGTGATTTTAGTGATCATACCTTGCCTCTCTGCGTCATAATTTTAAGTTTTTGATCTTATATTTACCAGTTTGCAATTTCATACAGTGACACAAGTTATTCCAACATGTGTACTCTATAGATACATCTTTATAAGATATTCTATCTGGTAATGACATTATTATATTATATTATGTCTTTTAGGATACATAAAATGTCTTTAATTCACCAGAGCAAATTTTGAAGTTTACACATAAGGTTTACAAGTATCGCGAGAATCTTTCCGCAGTTATCTGACTATCTTCAAATATACAGAATGGTCCCAATTGATCGCCATTTTGTTCCCAATTTTTAAATCAGAGTGTCTCTTCATATATTATATATTGTGCTCTGGTTGTTATTATAGTAAAATCAGCAACAAGCTTTTATATAGGCATGCTTGGGTGCCTCGTTAGTAATTGCCTTGTTATTGCCTTGTCTGTTTTATTTTCACAGTTCCCAGTACAGGTAAAATCTGGGCTGCAGCAATGGTACTTTTAGTCTGGTCAGATACTTACGCTTCATGTATGTTTATGTCCGTTCATCACACGTCATTTCACGGAAATGTCTATACGTCAGCAGTGTCAATTCAAAAAATGAACTAAAGGTGGCCATATTTGTATGTGTCCTAAACCATTTTTTTGACATGCCTTGACCAATTGTGTTCGAAGTATACAATGATATGCATGTTTTATGGTTTGGTTTTTCGTTTTATTAACTCTTGACCGACTGGCGACATTTTTAAATTTCGAAGGGTTTCTTTCGTTCATGATGCGACAGTGGAAATATGTACATGTGACTGGATCAAAGTATTAATGCAGAGAACAAGAATATTTTATTACAGTTTAAAGGTATTATATTATCACCACCACCAATTACTCATTATTGATAGTTGAAAGTCATTTCGTTCTTAATCACTCATCAAGTACACAGCATGAATTACACATAACTGCAAAAGAAACAAAACACGTTAGAATACGTTCTCACATGGCAATCGTAAATGAAATAATAATCTTTGTTCTCGGTAAATCATCAATCATAACATTGTCAAATTGTAGCCTCAATTGAGGTGAATGAAACCCTTACACTTGGATCCGTAGTTGGGTCGATGTCATAAAGTTATTTTTTTTTAAAAGTTGGATTAATGGATTAATTATTATTTCCTATGCAAAAAATACAATTCAAAAATATTAAAATACAAGTTAATGTCATAGTTTTAAAAATGTATCATGAATATTTTTATAATAATTGTGTCCGATAAACATGAATTGTCATAAAATAAAAAAAAAAATCTGCAGGCGACCATAACAGCGTTATGTCGAATTAAAAAAGACGCCAGTAGGTGTAAGCTTTGAAATATGCATTTTACATCCGAATTTGCATTTCATTGAACGGTGCAGTACCCCTTGCGTAGTGACATCGGCCAGTGATTGGTTGGTTGACACTTTACAACGTTTTTCTCATATCCCTGTGCTGCACATTTAAGCAGTATGGAAGTATTTAGAAATGAATTTGTTTACTCGGCAACGGTAAAAAATATATATTGTCAATATAATATTCTGTATTAATATTTTAATTACTTGAAAAACTTTCAATTCAATTCAATTTTTTTAATTCTGACGTTTTTAAATGAAGAAAACTATATTAATTAAATGTGTTTTGAAAAGTCGTGTATGTTATTTCTTGTATCCCTACATTATTAATCTTGTGCAGGGTGGTTTTGACTTTCATGTCTGTTGCCAAAACAGATGTTTTTGTATTGTTTGTTTATACCACACTCTATTGTTTTATGTATATATACTAAATAAATATAATTCATGCTCAAATAAACTAACCTTACCTTGTAAAGGTCAGTGACTGAGTTTTTAACACTTACAAGAGCTATTTCTTTCCAAAATCTAAACGAGCTAAACAAATTCACAATGATTAATTATAATAATCAATTAAAAGCATTTCACGAGAACAGGTCACGATTATGTATACCACCATATGTGATACATTAAGATAAATGCAATTGCAATAACATAAATGTATACATACTATTATCACCCGATTCTCCGACCGATTCGTCCGGCTCAGATAATTCACTTGGTGAGCTGATTATTGATTTACTTCCAGCTGATCCCTTTCTCGACTTACCCTCTTTCGCAGCACTTGTTATGACAGTGAGCAGCATCTGAATACAAGATGGAATACATAAAATCAGTGCATGTCATTTTGTACTACAAAAGAAGATCGTATATATACCATAACGTTAAGTGTTAGGTATATTCTGTATCATCATGTTGCAGTATATGTAATGTATTATGTGTTTAACTATTATATGTTGAGGTACTTCCAAACAATATTACGATAATCCACAACGTGTCCATCGACATTAGAACAATCAATCAATAGAATTTCATGACAGACCATAATGTGCTGAACAATACTATAAAAAGGCAAAATGTTTCAAAACTGTTCCTTGGCACACAAGAGGTACTAATACTGAATATAATTGGGTATTTTGGATTAATGTATGACCCTACCCGTGATGTCAATGATTTACAATCAAATAATTAGCATATGGTTGTGGGGCTGCTAAATCATCTACAAAATGTATCAGCATAAACTTACCAGTGCCAAAGCTATACACATAAGCTTATTTGCCATGTTGTCACTAGATTAACAGTTTGAAAATACTGTAAATATAACATATATATTCAGAATAATATTATGTGAATTGAAACAAGGTCACAGAGGCCCAAGTCTCACATTGTAAGCAAAGTTCAAATAATTCTAAAAAACTTGATGCATAATATAAATATTTGTAAAAGTGTTTGTAAAAGTAGAAATTTGCAATTTATTCATTCAAAAGCATTGCATCCATATAAGGATTTTTATGCACTGAATAAATAATAAACGTATATATTTTTAATATATTTCTGGAAATTATATATTTGCATAATTAAATCCGTTCACAATAACCAGTTAGTATTAAATATATATCTATATTAAACCCTGAACAAGATAATAAGTAAATATATAAATCAATTCATAACCAGTAAATAATGTTTTCACGATTGTGCACAATTAGGCATAAACGTATTCTATAAACTTTTTTCTGGGATTACATGACCAGCAAACAGTTTATCCTTATCACGTCATTAATTTACACGATGTACAAGTAGTAGTAAAAATTTATGTATATTATTGCAAACAAATTTACAAACTATAATGTACCATGTATTTACACGCTAATTTCAAAATGAAGTATAATATTTTAAGGAAATAATGACACTTTCAATTAAAATATAGCGTGAAAAATCGTGTGTATATTTGTTTGTGATATCAATGGTGCTATAGCAAAACGTCGCACTATTCAGCATTAAATCAATTGTTGTCTGCCCCCTTGTCAATTGTGTGGATTCATATTTTCTTTTTATTATAAATATAAATAATTAATCTAAAATATTGATATTTTTTGAATTTTATATTTATTTTATTTTTTATTTATGAAAAGATATATACTTTATTTCAATCCCTTACAAATGGTTATATATATGTAGAATAAGCTAGCCTATACTTTCTTAGTGATTGAATGTATTATTCATCTCATTGAGAAAAAAATCAAGCGATCTTTTACCACAATGTAGCTGTTTTAATTGCTGTTGTGATATAGTTTTTATATTACCCTGTCAAATACATTTATTGGACCACTGACAAATCAAACAAATGTTTCCCTGTAACTTAGACTCTTATTGATCAAGGCATTTTTATAATCACCATTGTTAACTCCCCACAAGTTATGACCCGAGGTCCCACCATAAGATAATGGTTGCATCTAATATTAAAATAAAGATGGCGGACAATAGCGTTGACTCATCTCATTCTACTCTGGATTTACTTGGAGCAATTACAGATCCTAGAAAGTTAGTATGTACATGCCTGTGTGTATTGTTTTTCAGTGTCTTTGACTTTTTCAATATTTTTGTTGCTATTTCTTGCTTTGCATATTGCGGGTTTGTAATGTAAGCCGTGATAGTTGTTAAAGCGGGATGGTCGTCATCTGCGCACGCGCGGGAAATGAGTCCCAAGCGTCGATAATAACACACGCTAAAAACGCAAAGCCTCATGGGTAGACGCTTGTTTGTAAACAATGACACACTATGGCCATCCAACGCATGCACAGGTGAAGACTCCTTCGCTTTAAGGGCACTGCAGCTGGTCGACAACATTTCAGTTCTTTGCAATGCTTCAGTCAATGTTTTTCTTGACGACCAATCTCCTCGTTGGAAGCTAAGTGACTGGTGGGGCATATTTAAAGTTGGCTTAACCAACCAAATCAGCACAGGGAGTAGGGCAAATGTCACATTTAGTGCTTCAAGAAAATATTCTCTGTCCATGTGTGTCACACGCAACGTAATATTACCGTAATTGGTATAGTACAGGTGTGATGGTTCAAATACCAAAATGGCAACAGTAACATAAAGACTTCCCTGGCGGCGATGATAACATACGAACACGGAGTCAACAGATGAGGTTTCAACTGGTACTGGTATTATTATACTCTGCAAACATCAAGTACAATAACTCGGTAAAACTCCAAACCTCCAATAACTAGATACTTAAACTAGATACCCACACTGTCTATAAATAGACCATTACATCAGCATACATAATGAGTCTGGAACGTACTACAAATTTCTGGAATGTTCCGTTACCTATTCAACCAGTTTCTAAAAATTCCACCCAGACACAGTACGGTTCTAGAACATTCTTAGTCACACGGAAATGGTAAACAAGTCGTATGCGACAATGTGTATTTATATACGTAGATGCAGTTTTCTTTGCTTGAATCAAACTCACTGGCTTTGTACATACAGGTATACTGGTTTACCTGTTTCTAGTTGAAATTTAGCCGATCATATTACGCAAGACAGTTGAACATTTGCCACATGCCACAACACTCGTTTCCAAGTACTACATCTTAGAACAGGCAGTCAAATCTGATATTGGCTGGAGCTTTTGTTTATATGGAAATTATCATGGTGAATGGCAAACTGGGTGGTCAAACACGTCAACAGTAATGCAAATAAGCACCGGCCTACTCCGCCCACTCCACTATAAATTAAAATGGCTGTTTATAAGACCACTTTTGATGCGGTTTCATGTTTCTTATGGATAACAATTTTAATTTTAAACCTCTATGCTCATACTAAACTACAGGTGTCAATATTACTAAGAAAATTGTACTTCATTTTAATTAAAATTACTGATGCATGGTTTGTATGGTAGTATGGTTGTTGTACCACGGTATTATATTTTGTCTATTTCCTATAGACATGTCTTGCGCTTCAAGACTTGCCGAAATCATTACTTAAAATTATATTAAAGCATTAAATTGTCAGGTAACAAGTATTTAATGCTAAGATCGGCATTAGATTAAATGGTTCATTGCCAAAAACAACGGATTTCAACATCGAAATAAGACAATTTTGTGAGAGCATCGTCATCGGCATAGGCGGCGGCACACAAATTTTCATGAGGGGGTAAGATCCCGGGGGGATACATAGAACTTACCTAATGGGGACGAGCCCCTGAAATGGGTCTCGTTTTTTGGATTTTAGGTATAAGTATCGGTCTCATTACTGGTCAAGATAGGTAAAACTATCGGTAATGTTTTTTTCGATTAGTTATACTTATGGGTCCGTATATGAGTGAATATTTCCACCTCAGATCCCGGCCTAAGATCCATAGGTAACTGTTTTATTTGGAATAAACAGTGATGACAGAAATGGTACTTTGGTATACATATGGGTATAGATTTTGACACTCTCCAGGTATAAAAATGGTCACGCTTTTGAACACTCAGGAGCACCTCCCTACCCAGCAATGTATCAATTGCCCCCCCCCCGCGAGAGATGATCTATGAAGACATCTATATTCATTGAAATACACAAGTGTCCCACAAATGTATGTTTCATGTCGATGTGGTGTGGGTCACGTGTGTACACATGACGTAAAAAATCTTACATTATATAGAAGGACTTTCTAAGCAACGCCCAGGTAATTGATTTTAGAATTTAAATGATACCAGTAAACAAATGTACGTTGTCTCCAACAATATCACAGAGACTTCGCTCTGACATACAGACATGGAATTAATGTTAAACGAAACTCATTTTATAGACCACTCACAAAAATCGGCTACTTGACTGTCTAGTATGTTGTTCTGAATAACTATGAAAACGTACAATAATCTAACTCACAGGTGTATTTTGATCCAGTGAATGCTTCTACTACATTGAACCGGTAGATTGTAACATGGAAGATTGTTTTGTGACGTCACTAAATAATAGTTGTATTTTTTATTGTATGTACCAGTAGAAATAAAAAGTGTGGGCATTCAAAATGGTAAACAACAGGAAATCCCTAGATATCTAGTGGATAACATAGTGGAGCGTAGATCGTTAAAAAAAAAGTTCAAAAACACATGAAAAATGCTGCTAAAATGACAAAAATACCCCATGTGTGTTGAAATATAAATTAAATAATTTGTTAAGTCCAAGTAATGTAACTTTAAGTACATGAAAATGAATATTGAAGCATCTATTTGAAGCACTCTGATATTCCTGGCCATATGGAATGTCACGAGGCTATGTATTAATTGTTATTGTGCAGCGCAGTTATTGATTAAACTATATAAATATGTGATGTTATTTTATATCATATATCAGGAAAGTGGTTGACAACAAAATAATACTGAACTACATATTTAGCATATTTGTAAATTGCAATGGGCTGTGTCAAAATAGTATTTTTAGAATTGACATTGTGTCAACATTACAAATTACTATTTTTGAAAATGGTAGATAGTCATTATATTGCTAAGGTATATTATAAGTCATGTTACTTAATATATTACCCTGTTTTTATTAATTTGAGCAAATGATGTTACTAATGTTGTTTTCAATTTTGTAATAATTAAAACTTCTGGGACGTTCAAAATACTGTAGGAAAATTATGATGAGCACTGGAAAACGTCCAATCATTTTTTAACACAACTGATTATTACTCAGTATAAGATGTTTCAATTACTGTGGGAGGTTTTCTATACAGATCGTTGAACACCGGGATCGAACATACGCAATTTATTGTGGTGCCGGAAGATGTATTTTGATTGTATGTACCAATCCTCGGATATCTAGTATAGGAGAAATAGAAGATCATTAACACAAGTCGTATCAAAAAAAATTACAACTTCAAAATCACATAAAAAAATGATGCTAAAATGACAAAAATACCCTAAAAATTTGCGTTTTTTCACATCACCTCATCCATTAAACGGTCCACCCATAGACATGATAATTTCATCTCAATAGTTAAAATCCGTCGTCAAAAAAATCACGACGTCATCGGTATCCATTTTCTGTTCTTCCCCACAAGCCGCACTGTGACTACCCCAGACCATTCATCGAAACAAGTCGTCTGGGGTATACTATGACCGATGCCGTGGACATCCTGTTTGTAATGCTATATGATAATGCTAGACCAACTACCACGTAAATCCAATTGATTCTAGATTCATTGAACAGAGAGAAAAAAGTGACATTTGCAATAACAATTCCTTAATGGCCGAGCAGGTCCGGATTTGTAAGGTTCGGTTGACGAAATGAATAATACAATAGTAATGATTGGAACTACATGAATACTAACGAATTTCACCTTACCAAATGTTACAAACGTTAATATTGTGGACGAAATGGATTTTAAAAACAAAAATGGAATTTGAAAACAAAAATGGATTTTAAAAACGAAAATGGATTTTAAAAACGGAATTTCAAAACGGAAACGGATTTTGAAAACGAAAATGGATTTTGAAAACAAAAATGGATTGTAAAAACGGATTTTAAAAATTTTAAGAACTGAAAATGGTTATTAAAAAGGAATTATAAAATGTAAATGAATTGTTTTATGAAATTCCATGTTGTGAGCCACCTCTCTTGCCGTACAGTGCCGCTCCATCAGCATGTTATGGAACACGTCCTTCCACGTAACAAAAGGTAACATTTAAAGTTGCATTCGCGAACGATACAAAGTGTCAATTGATTTGAAGTGTCGTTCAGAATGTAATAATAGTTTATACTCGTTTTATCGTTTTAACATTAAAATCACCATTTCGACCACTCATGCCAGTGATCAGTGTTTGGGCGAGCGGTCAGTGTTTTCAATCAGCGAACGTGAAAAGAAAGCAATAAAAATGTTTTCCGGTCAGAAAAGATCGCGCGGTCGCAAAATTAAGCGATAAGCGATCGATATATAAGCGGGAGACTGGGCGAAAGGAGTACTATACCCGGGGTACTGTACCCCGTGTATAGCTTGACAAGCGACGTCAATTGAGGACATGATAGAAGGAGTCGGTAGTACACGCGGGGAGGGAGTCCAAAGGGGGGGGGACACTCACCTCTTTAAGAGGAAAACTAGAAATCTCGACGGTTTTCTTGCGTTCTTACGTATAATATTAGGTTTGAGGGCTGCGCGAGA